CATTTCAAAGATTCGCGACCCTCTGGATAAAGCAATTTGTCATCTGTCCTAAACTGCTGACCTCTAAATCCACAGTCTCCAACCAAGGAAACAGACTCTGTCATAAGAGAAGTAGGCCATTCAGCCCATTGGAATGATGGAACAAACTCGAATGGGATCTATGTTACAACATAGTGACAGCAAGCCAAGCCAAACCAAACCTAACCAAATCAGCTTCACAATGACTGAATTTGTAACAGTGAAATTAAAATGATGACCTTCAAAATTGCTCAATTAATCTTAACCAGACTTCACCTGTAACAGATCTTGGACACCAACTTAATAATTGTTAATTTTTGTTTAAGAATTTAAACTTTGGCAGAACATAGGCAGTATCTCTGATTCAAGCCCAATCTGATTAAACTACAAAACAATCTCCTTTGAACAATAACCCACACTCACAAACAGATAGGTGTAATTTAAATTAGAAAAAATATAATTAGGCAGCTTGATAACTGTTTCAATGGTGAATACTAGGCTTGCATGAAATCCAAAGACAAATGGGTCGTATTACAGGCACGAAGCATTGAATATCTTGCTTGAATTCCAAAGTCACCAGTCAATGTAAACCACACCCACAAACCTCTGAAAGCTTTTTATTTATTTCTTATGACTGGAATTTTTTTCTCAGAACTTTCAACAAGTTGATAACTGTACAGAGCAAAACCAAAAACAACTGTAGTCTGCAAGCTTCCAAAGCAAAACTGCCTCCTGGCCAAAACTCAGTCAGCACCAGTTCAACGTGTGCTTTTTCAGCATTCCATGGTTGGCTGACCAGCACCAGCCCTCCCTTGATTAATTCAGCTGACAAGCCCCTAAGCATAACATCTGTGTGAAAAGTCTACACTGTTCTTAGAACAGTAGTTAATCTGCATTATCTTTCCAAGTCAATTCCCAAGAGCAAATATCAGTCTTTTATTCTCTTGTCACTTTTAAGTTCAATTCTCAGCTGTAACTAAGAATTCCAAACTAAAATGAGAAAAATTAAAGAAAAAAAGTGATAGTCTCAATGTATGACTGATTTGATAATCCTCAACTGCACTTTTCTACATTTTCCCCATAACACTTGATTCCATTATTGATTAAAAATATGCCCATTTCAGACTTGAATATAGTTTGTTAACAAGCTAGCCTTGCAACAGTCTGCAGTAAATAATTCCACAGATTCACTATCTTCGAGAAGAAATTCATCATCTTCTCTTAAAACGAGTGACCCTGATTCTAAGAATATACCTTCCAATCCTAGACTCTCCCATAAGGGAGAAAGAAGGTTACTGCCTCTACTCTGTAAAGTCCCCAAAGAATTTTATATGCACCTATCCTTTTCAAGCACTCATATTTATTTCAATAAGATCACTTCGGGCCAAAAATGTGATGCAATACTCTTTGTTTGCCTGAATAAGTAAGTTCGGCTCCAAAAACACTTCAGAAGCTCAATGCCATCCAGGACAAGGAAGTTTGTTTGAATGGGACCCCAAACACCATCTTCAACATTCACTCTCTCCACTATATTGTTGCACAGTGGCAGTAATGAACAACATCTACAATATGCACTGCAGTAGCACACCACTCACCAACACACTCTAACCTGACTTAAATATATCACTGTTCCTTCAGTGTCACTGGGTCAAAATCCTGGAATTCCCTTCCTAACACTACCTTATACCAAGGACTGCAGCGAGTCAAAAAGCCAACTCATCACCTTCTCCAGCGATGGGCAACAAATATTGTCCTAACCAGAGATACCAATATCCCTCAAAACAAGCAATAAAACTTTCTTCAGAACTCCAAGAGATGAAGGTCCATTCTACTCAAATCTTTCCTCAGGACAATTCCCTCACTCCAGTGTTTCCCCTCAATCTAAGGCATGTTTGTCCTTGCTTAGGTGAAGAGACTAAAATTGCACCAAGTAATCCAAAGCCAAAGAAAATTGCAGGACAATCTTATTGCTATGTACTAAACCCTGTTCAATATTGGCTCATATGCGGATGCAGTATGCAAGACAATTGGTGTTAGCTTTGTGATACATATACAATAACAGCCAAATAAACCTCAACGCGAACAATTGCCACTTTCACTTCTTAGAAGTGATTTTTCTATTTTTTTGTTCCAAAGGGGCTAATTTCACATTTTCCTACATTATACTCCATTCACTTAAGCTATCTATATTCCTTTATAATGTCTCTGTATCCTCCTCAAAGCTTAAACTCCTACTTCCTTAATGTCATGAGAAAACTTGAATGCATTCCGAATGATTTAACCAGTCACGCCTAGTTTAACTAGTGGTACGAATGTTAAAGGGAGATGTTTCGATTCACTTTTGTTGGAGATGGTCATTGCCTGGCAGATAACATATACACCACATATTTGCTCACACGTAACTGTTTTCCGGATTTTGCTTCAGATTCTGATAAGTTATGAACAGTACAGTGAACATCTCCACTTCTGGCCTTATGGAGGAGGACAGGTCACTGATGAAGGAACCGAAAATGGTTGAACTGAGGACTCTAACGAACTACTACAACTATGTCCCAGATCTGAAATTATTGGCCTTCAGCAACCAGAACCATCTTCCTTTCTGCTAGGTACAACTTCAACCAACAGAAAGCTTTCCTCTCTATTCCCATTGACTCACGTTTTGCGAATCAATTCTAGTTTGGATCACACTGTTTTCTGTCCGTTAAACAATTCTCAAATCCATGCCAAAATATTATTTCCAAATCTTCTGTAACAACCACTTGTGGTTTCTTACTGAAAGCCTTTTGAAAGCTGCAAGTTAAACAATGACAATAACAACTTCTCAACTGCTGACTTATTGTCAGTAAAAGAATGCCATTTCCCAGGAAGCTCAAGTAAAACCACACATCTCATGTCATCACTGCCAATTACCAAACATATTAGGTAGTGTATAGCAAAGCCTGAATTTTCTCACATCAAGGACAACGAGGGACAGATAATAAATAAAAACCAAAAGAACTGTGGATGCTGTAACTCAAGAACATAAACAAAGTTGCTGGAAAAGCTCAGC